CACACACACACACACACACACACACACACACACACACACACACACACACACACACACACACACACACACACACACACACACACACGTCCTCCTCACTCACCTTGGCAGGAGCAGCCACTGAACCTGACACATTAAACTCAAGGTAAGCTGCCGCTCTGATAAGGCTGTAAAACTCTGGGAGGATTTCTATCACGTGCACGAGCTCAAGACGGTGACCGAGCCCGCGGGGGAAGAGACACAGGAAGGTTGACCTCCAAAACAAAAGGCCTCGGGGTGTTTGACGTCAACAGAGAAACAATCAGAACGAACTTCTCTCCACATGTTTAACATGCAGGTTCATTAAAATAACACGTTCATGATTTATTTCATTCTATAAAAGCAGAATTCTCCAACCCTTCACATTTCTGCTTCCTCATTTACATAACGGCAGCGTACTGACACGGATACGAAGCGCAGGAGCCTGGAAACAGCAAACATGAGTGACATGAGACTGTTCCGCTGCAGCGAGCGTCAGTAACCATCGGGCTGAGGCCACGTGTCCCCAGCAACAATAAACCCGTGAAGACGAGATGTTCCAGGTATCAGCCATTAAGATTATCGAGACGTCGATCATGCTCCCCCTGGTGGATAAACTCTCTAAGGTCATGTATGCGTACTCTGCGTTCATCTGCTCTGTACTTGTCTTCTGAAACCTCACGATACGAACAAACCTGATGGAACTAAAGTACCACAGGAAGTCATGGGGGGGGGGGGGGGGCGACCTCAGTCGTCAGGTGTTTCTGATCAGTTTTGTTTTAGTTTATCTGTCATGATTGACATCTGAGACTGACTCCTGATTGGTTAGAAGCAGTAAATCTATATAAATAAATGTAACATCTCTCTGCATCGATGAGCCTCAGATGAGCAGGCGACACAGTCCGTCACCTCTGAACAGGGAAGGTGAGAGACTGGAACTCGTGCTTCTGAACACAGAAACCTTATCAGGGACGGATTCTATAAATAACACAGGTGTTTTATTTGTCGGATGATTTTTCGGTCGGCTGATATCTGCCGCCGCCACAGAGACGAGTGTTTGTCCCACTCGCTGATCTGTGAGTCACACTCGGTGAATTAGTAATGAAGGAGAAGGTGAGCGTGACTGAGGCACGACCCCTTCCTTGGCATCAGTTTACATTTTGGCAGCGAGATAATTAAAAACCTGAAAGATGAAAAGTTCAGGCTCTCACACACACACACACACACACACACACACACACACACACACACACACAGCCCTACCCGCAGGTCTCCGTTGGCCAGGTGAGGGCTGTGGTGTGCAGGGTAGGTGCCGTACACAGGCTCTTTGCAGTAAATCTTAATTACGCAGCGGTCCTGAACGTCCCGCGGGTCCTCCAGCTCGTAGAAGACGTTCCGGGTCTCATCTTTGATCAGCAGCGCCGTGCTCGGAGACCTGGTCATCAAAAACAGAAACACACTGATAAAGAGTCCACGCAACGACGATCACAGCCGCTGTTACCTGCTGATCAACAGTGATGTACAGTCATTTACACTCCAGGGGGAGAAATGGAAAATCTTTAACAGGCGAGAGGAGAGAATCAACCCGACGCAGTCTGATATCGAACTCATGAGGGACGTAACATTCAGAGCGAGAGGAGTTGAGAGAGAAGAGGACGAGAGCCCGAGCTGTGTCAGAGCAGGTTTTACAGATAATCTATAATTAATACGTTGATGAAAATACATACTGATTTTATTTCAGCTGCATTTGTGGAAAACTTGGAAAAACTTGGGACATCAGGCCTGGAGATTAAAAATCTAATTTCTGTTTTGATCTCGTGTTGGAACCAAACTGATTGTGTGTCGATCAGAAGTTAAAAGAAGAAAAGTTTCTTTCACAACTTGTTTTAGTGACTCGTCCTTTGGTTTGATGGATTTTTATCTGCTGCTTTTATTCCTTCCTGTTTTTCTCATTTCTTTGTTTGTATTTATTTCAGATCCATGTCCGCGTCATTTACACGTCTCACCATGATTGATTGATAAAACTAAATGAGGCGTGTACGTGTCACCAAACAGATCAATGCGGTGAGACTGATACCTGAGCATGGCCATGGTGAGCCTCTGGGGGAACATGTGCACGATGAGCGCCCTCAGAGTCTCCAGGCTCGTCAGCTCGTGGGTCAGGTGGACTCTGCGCGTCTCCTCCCCAAGCTGGAGGAACAAGATCCCTGCATTTATGGATGAGGAGGAGCGATGAGGGAGATCGACCATGGTGGACGGGTGAAGAAGAGGAGGAGGAGGAGGAGGGTGATGAAGGTTGAAAGGAGGGAGGAACACATTTTCATCTCAACAGTAGATTTTTGAGTCTGATGAATGTAGAGGAAATGATAATAACTTGGATTTATACGAGGACTTCAAAGTTCCCTCCAGAGGAAGGAGTTTGTGTTAAACGTCAACGTGCAGCACAGTGTAGATTTGTATTTTGCTCTCTGACCTGGGGCCCGCAGCTTGGCCTGGCTGGACGAGCGAGCCAGCGGGAGGCTCTGACGGAGCCGGTTCATTCGGTTGAAGCCGATGGGGATGTCGGGCTCCGACATGGTTTCCAGATTTTCAGCTGAGGCGAAGGAAACCCTGTTGGCCTGGTCAGAGAGCGCCGGCTGTGTCGGGCTGAGGCGCGTCACGCGAGGCGTTCGAGTCTGTGAGACGTTAAGAGAAGGAGAGAGAGAGTAAATGATGCTGTGAAGGCAACACGGCAATGAAGTGAAAATGTTGAGCAAACAAAAGACAAAATGAGAAAACGGAGAAAATCCCTGAAAAGAAAGAAAAGGAGTGGAGAGGGAGGCTTTTAGCTCGGAGGCACGTAAACAGTTTACCTCAGACAAAGCAGCTCTTTCACTCTGCTCTACCAACAGAGCCTCAACAAAGGAAGCTGAATCCTGGAGATAAAATTAGAGCAGCGCAGCCGGCAGGTTAAACACACCGACTCCAAACAGGCTCAAAAACAAAACCCACAAAAACTACCAGAACAAAGCTTCAATTAAAACTTCACAACACGAGAGTAGAGAGAGTTTTATTTTAACGCTCTCTTTCCTCAGAGCGTCCACTGATGCTGCTACGCTGTGAAATCGTGTGTGTGTGTGTGTGTGTTCTGACGATTACAAGATCACAAATCGTTTGAATCTACGATTACGTCTGTGGCCTCTCGTGTGCACCAGGCCTGAGACAAAGTGTTTCAGAGACTCATTACCAGCTCTACCTTTAAACTGGTATTTAAACCAACGTGTTCGACCTCGGAGATTTCCTCCACAAGAACATGAAGAAGGATCTTCTCAGCAGCTCTCAGCACACGACAGGTTACGTTTGAATAAATTCTCTGAGCTGAACGCAGGTTTGTTCGGGTCCCGTGTGACGAGGAGGTTCAGTGATTTCTGCCTGACTGTTGTTAAAAACAGAACTTTTACATCCGCGAACAAACTGTTGGATGGAAACACTGAAACAAAAACTCATGTGTCTTTTAAAAAACTTCTAAGCTCAGTAAAAAGTACCCGAAGCGAAATAACGCTAAGTTTTTCTCTGCAGCTCGCAGGAAGTGCACAGGCCCCGAGCAGACGACAGCGAGGAACTCGATGCCAACGACCATGACTAAGCTAAACTCCATTACAGACGCGTAACGCAGCTAACCAGCGTTCTGTCACCTGTGCCCTCTGAACCACCGGAGCCCAAATTGTGAAGGAGGCTCGTTACAGCGCGATGAGGAGCGTCTGCAGCGCGTTGACTGTTAATGAATCTTCACTGACAGACGTTTTCCAGCCCAAAGACGACGGTAATGAGCTCCCACAGCGCCGCGTGCAGCTTTATGCATCTGTGGACTCGGAGGCCTCAGCAACAGGCGAGAGAGAGAGAGAGAGAGAGAGAGAGTGCAAGCGTGACGCTCTGCCATGCATGTGTGCACGAACATGTAGGGAGACACCGACATGTCAGGCAACACACTTGCACACACGTGTTTTTAGATCCTTTAAAAATGCACCGAACACATGCGGCTCTGACAGATCTCAGTGCGTGCGCTCGTCAGCCAGACGCCGTGCACGTTCCGCCCTCAACCGCACAAACATCGAGCTGCTGCGGAGGAAACACTGAAGCACCAGGGATTCGTAAAGTTTGTGTTCAGTGAACTGTGAAGAGGAGAAGAGGAGCAGACAGAGGTTAGAAGAAAAGAAAACTTCTATGATCTGCAAAATGAAGAGAGTGAACAAACAGAAGAAGAAACAAACTCAAACATTAAACCAGACGAAGCTTCACGAATCAGGGTTAGAACGTTTCTCAGTGACTTCAGCGAGAGGACGCAGCAGGAAGCGCTTGATAACAATCTTCACATCCACTCAGTGAATTCAGAAATTTCACGCTGCTCAGTGAGTTTAAATTAAAATCGTCTTGAGCCGTCGACAGGTTTGACGATGTCGAGTTAAAGATGAAATTCAAAACAGCAGCGTAGGAGTCGTGATACGTTCTCAGATAAGCGACGCTCACACGACGGGTCCTCTCAGGACAGAAGTCTGAATCATTCGTCGTTGATCTGAAAAACAGATAAAAAGGAATCAAACTCTAAATAATCTGTAAATCCTGAAGGAATATATAAACTGAGAGACACGTCAGAGGGGATTACTGAGAGTTAAGACTCCATCACAGAGGAGATGACAGTTTTATTAAATAGAAGAATTATTGAAAAAAGGGAAAATCCACTTTTAAAGCTCGTCTATCGTCTGATGCAGTCGACAGGAAGTTCCTGTTCTAACCTGTGTCCTCTTTTTTCAAATTAAAGTCGTCATGTGCAAAACTTTTTCACTTCTCACAGCGAAACACAGTTGAAATGAAACATGAATCTAAATCTTCTCTGATTAGAATCAATCAAAACATCTTTAATTTTCATCTTATCATTAAAAGGAGAAACACTGTCAGAACATTTCTTTTTTTTTTGGGCTGTTTGAAGACAATTAAATCAGTTTCCTTCAGGGTCCAGATAAAAAAAACAACAGATTAAAAAACAGACAAACGCCAAAAATATAATAACTTCTATTCGTAGAAAACTAAAAACCAACAAATCTTCTCATTTAGAGGTAAAACTGAAGCTTTGACCAACATTATTTGTAATTGCTGCTTAAAAAACGACTGAAACACTTTAAAAACAGTTGAAGTTTGATCGTCTCTTCTCATTTTCTCTTTGCATTGTTCTTAAACTCGGACCAACAACATGTAAATGCTGTAAACCAGCTCACATGGAGGCGTCTGAGTCCGACTCTCCTGCTGACTGCAGAGCCTCACGTCTGTGTCCTCCTCATCTCGAGGGTGTTTCACGCAGCAGAGTTCACTGGTTC